CTGAGAGGATTAGTAGACAGCACTTTGGAAATTAACTTTAAGTATCATAATAATTTGCTTTTCGTTAGGACTCATCGCACATCAGGTTGGAATATAAGTCCGAAAGAAAAGCGAATAACTGTGCTACTTTACTTAATTATTTCTAAGAGGACAAAAACTTGTTAATTGTTGTTGTGGCAATTGTATATTAACTTCAATAATTAAGGAAAAACTGTACAAAATGTATGAAGTGTATCAACTATTTATAAATTTTACTCGAGCATCGGATATAAACATTAATAGTCTTAATTTTCGACATTAAGCTTATTTATAATGTATGTTCTTTTATTATATGCAGATGTGTAGTTTTCGTAAAAAGTAGTTAGGATAAAATACAGTAAGATTTTATGAAATTTTTTATGTTAATTTTTGTTTAAGGTGTAAAAAAATAGGAAAGAACTCTACTTACCATTTTCATTTCCACATTTCTGCAAAAGGGTTGTTATTTCTATCATATTGCCTTTCGATCCGCAATTAGAACACGCATGATATGCACTACATCTGAAAGATCGATATTGTTGGACGCCATTTTCTTAACCAAGTAAACTAACACTTTCCTTTGTGAACTTTGTCAGAGTTTTGTTTAAAACGTCACCATCACAGAGTATGCACATTGAGCAAGACTACTACTTTCTGACTGATTTGTTACTAATGCATTTAACTCGTTCAACTTTATAAACGTTCTTAAACACAATGGCCATATGACAAGAAAAGAGAAATCTAAATACTGAACCTGTTACCGGTGTAATTTGCGTGAAAAAATCTTCTTTCCACAAACGTTTTGGAGCTTTCCAACTAGCTCTTCTTCAGGTAGACAAAAAATTCAGACGAAACACTTTGAAAAATGGAACGTAGATATTTAAATAAAAAACCGAATCTAAAAATAGAACGCAGATGTTTAAACAAAAAATATGAAACTCGCATAACGAACGATCATAATGTATTTAGTATTTCATCTCCGGTGTCAGAGTGAAGTTTAATTTACTTAAAGAGAAATCTTTCAATCAAATTTTAAGTTCAAGCAGAGTAGCCATTGAACAAGCATTTGGACAGTTATTTGGATGATTTCAAAGACTAAATTATTTGTATTTTCTTAGCACAATGTTGCTGTTGAGAACATATCACACAGGAACACTTTCAGAGGAAAAAGGTAATTNGGGACCTCCCGATGCGTTTCTTGACAACCTCGCAGAGAGTGTCAGTGGCGATTTTACTGATGTTGGGGTCTCTAGATTTAAAGAGGTACATCGCGTGTTTCAATCAAATTTTAAGTTCAAGTAGGGTAGCCATCGAACAAGCATTTGGACAGTTATTTGGATGATTTCAAAGACTAAATTATTTGTATTTTCTTAGCACAATGTTGCTGTTGAGAACATATCACACAGGAACACTTTCAGAGGAAAAAGGTAATTTTATTGGTGTGGACGGATATGCATTTTGGGCTTAATGCCCCTCTTCAGTTCTATTATTACATATTTATCAGTAAATTGATTACAGGTTTACAAATTTACAGAATTCATTGAAAAAATTAGGTTAGGTGTACAATGATGTTCGATTTTCCATCACTTCCTGGTAACAATGTGAATTTGAAGCAAAGTTTTTCCATTTTTCAGTAAGAGTTAGTAACAAAAATGTCGTTTTATAAGGTTTTTAATTTCTTCAAAAAAGGAATGATTCGACAAATGAAATAAACCATGATGTGTTTCTCTGTAAACAATGTTTTTTTTATTTTATTAGTTTAAAATTACATTACCGAAATAACACTTCTGAAATGTAATAGACATTTTCACCTGTAAACAAAGAAATGACATTTAAAGTTTATTCTTCACTATATCAATTCCTTTTTATTATTTATATTTTCCCGCTTCACCATGTATTGATTACGCCATATTGTTTTTTCTTATGTCTCATGTCAATGACAGTGCGATGCGTGGATAAAGTTGTTTTTTAATTGAAAGAGAGATTCTTCTCTTTACATATATATAAGAATTTTGTTGAAAAAATTAAAATAAATACAGTATGACATTTTGGAAGACCATCTATCGACATAAATCGAATTTAAGCCTCCCGCCATCATCTGATTGGTTAAAAAAATTAATATTCCTAATTGGCTCACGTCAGAAAAAAGTAGGCGTGACTTCTGTAAATCACACTATCGCAAGTGCTCCGATGTGACCCGGAAAAGTGAGTCCTTGTCTGACCTACTTTTTCTGAGATCAACATTAGAGTAAAACGTAGTAATTTATAGTAAAACGGTCTTCTCTAATATTTGTAGTAGTTTGTAAAGTTTGAATTTCAATTTAATAAGTGTTATTTAGTTCGGAAACATTAAAAATACATCATCAAGTAGGAGAATAACATAAAAATTTTTCACTACAGTACAATTTACAAAATCTAAAGTTCGTATATTGTAATATTACGAAATAACTAGATCAAAACAAATAAAGTCAACTAATTTACTTAAATGCAGTTCATTATACAACTGTCCATTTGCTCTCATCATAGTTTCATCTAATTACACCTAAAATATAAAAAAAAAAATGTAACAAATTAATTTGCTAATAAAAGGACTACTTGCTTATTGAACTTTGTATCCTTCTTTCACTTTGTTTTACGTAAAATAGCACTAAATCGGTAGACATGTGTAAATAACACGCTTATAAACACTAAAAAACATATATGTTTTTCGAAATTAGGTCTAAATAATTATATGCACAAGTAAATTAGTAAGCATATAATACATACCTTCATTTATATCAGAGGATTATATTCAAAAATCAGTTCTCGCTAATTGTTGAAAATAAATTATTTTTCAACTTTTTTACGGAGTAAGCCCATGTTCCCTGGGTATCAATTCGTCAGAAAATGGGGGAATAAGACTTGATAAGTCGTCGTGGGCATAATCTATTGATAGATTTCTCGTTGCCTAAATATAAGGAGTATTCACAACTTTGTTTAGACAATTGCCATATAGGGGTGGTAGGTGAACATACTGCGATGGGTGTTGTCTGACATTTGGTTAAGTCGTTATGTTGCAATAACATATAGGACTGTCGGTTTCTTGACAAAGCAATTATAGAGTACGAGTTGTTGTAGTAAACAAACGCTCCTATAGAGGGAAAATATACAGGTAATCGTATGATCAAAATAAAGCTTGAACTTTATTTCTGTTGTCTTGCCTTTCTACAAAATCTGACGCCAATGAGTCATTGTGTTTACAGCTGGATGACCTTGAGAATAGCTGGTGTTGGATTTCCCGGGACATTCTCATAGAAGTCTCGGGAGACGAAGGGTTTATAGTATGATGAATACTAGCTGGCCGTATATTTTTTAAAAATTAAAATTTTCATTGCGATTTTCGACCCCCCCTAATTAATTAAATTTATATATAAATNACAAACCAATTTGACCCACTAGAGGGACCTACCCAATAACCAAACAAAAGGTTTTATGACCCTTTGTCTTAACTTATTCCTTTGTTCGGACTACTGTCTGTCGACATGTGCGGACATTCGTCCTACTACTATGTAAAGACTCTTGTACATTAATTCATAGATTAAAGGAAGATACCTTAACCAGTTTAATATGTTTCATCTGAGTGTCTCTCTGCTGATTCCGAATTAACGACAGTATTAGTGTTAGAAAATAAAAAAAATTTTCTTAAATACTTATATTAATCTTCCTTACAGACTACAAAAAGATATATTATTATTGGTATAAAAACCGCTATTACGTTTGCAGTAATAAAATATGTTATAAGTTCTATTTCAACATCTACTCTTTGGTGTTTTAAAATATAGGATAAAAGTATTTTTAACAATTATATTGAGTAAATTTTCTAAATTTAAAGACAAAATTTTAAATAAAGCATTTTTAACAAATTTTAGTTGATCTGGCTGCTGTCTCACTTAAATAGATGAACACAATATAATAATTAATTAATATTTTAAGAATTTTCGGCTCAAAATAAAATAAAGAATCGTATTTATATCTCTTTATTAGTGTGAGCCCGAGGTTTTGAGAGCATATATTTTTTAGTTTAACATATTTTTACATTAAAGGATAAAAAAATAAATTACCGTATTTTGACGAGTATAACTTGCACTTTTTTTACTACTTTTTGAGGCTCAAAATCATGGTGCATCTTATACTCGACAGGTAACCATTTTTACAGTGAAAAATTGTTACCAGTCGAGTATACAAGTGGTCCACTCTAGGGACCAACCTGTGCAGTGATCGTTAAGCAACCGAATGGCTAGAGTATCTAGATTATCATAGTAGTAACACGAGTCATTGCCGCCATGTTCTGTCGACTGTCATCGCGTGACCTCTGAGTTTACATTAAGAAATGACGATTATTTCAGTTTAATAAAGGTATTGATTCATCCACTTGTCATATTCTTGAATAAAAAAACGCAACTTTAGACAATTCCTTTAAAACAGTTCTTTTCTAAATTTTTTCTCTCAAAATAGGGATGCATCTTATACTTGACAGTGACTTATACTCGTCAAAATACGGTATCCCAAGTTATAACGGAGATGTCGAATCTTACACATCTACCAGGGAGGAAGGAAGAAAATCAAGTCATCGTCCATTAGTCATCGTGCACGAGCTAATTAGTCAGCATAAGGAGTGAACGACCTGTTGGCTCAGTGCCAACGACGATCGTATAAAAACGATCGTCGCGGAAAGTTCAGAGTGATCATCCCCTTAGTGCGACCATCCCTCCGTGCGATCATCAGGTAGGTCTGATTACAAGTGTCGCTTGTCTCGATCCTGTCCGAGGAGAAGCCAGTAGAAGACATAAGCCTGTGACAGACAGCCAGCTTCCATAGTCCAAAATGATCGTCGCATACCGTCCTCCAACATAAGGTATACCTGACCAAAAATATCTCTCTCTCACTTCGCATAGTGACTAGTTAGATCGCCATTATAGATTTGTGTTATCCACATCTAAGTTTTAGATGTGGATCATCACATTTAACTTGTTACCATTTTCTACATACACCATGTCTCCTACATTAAATTCATAGTATTTTAGCTTTTTATCAAATAATGTCTTGTTGTAATTGTGTGATTTTATTGTATTCTCTAATGCTATCTTTCTATCCTTATTCCAGTCACTAAGTGATATAACTTTTTTTATTTCATTTGGCAAAATTGTAACATCTGTACCATACAAAAGATATCTTGGTGAAAACCCTGTAACGGAGTGGTTTGTTTCGTTGTATTTGTTTACACATTCTTGTGCTATTGTTGACCAAGCTTTCTTCTTTCCTCTTTTATTTATTTTACATCTAATTTTGTTTACTAATGTTTGATTTAGTCTTTCATTCAGACCATTTGAAAATGGTGCATTTACTGCTGTGAATACTATAGGTATGTGCTTGTCTTGTAAGAATTTCTGGAATTCTTTTGAATTAATTCCTGGGTATTGGTCAGTAAGGATCATACCAATATTCTCTGTTTTTGTTATGTCCTGGACTAATTTTATAAAATCACTTGCACTCTGTGTTTTTGATGTTTTAATAAATGCATATCTTGTAAAGTGATCTACCAGCAAATGTAGGTATCTTTTTGTTGATCTTGAACCTCCAAAACCTCCAATTGTGTCAATGGACATTATCTCAAAAGGCTTTGTAGCTGGGCCTAGATGAGACATAAATCCATATTTATTGTGTCCTCTTGATTTGTTTATTATACAAATTTCACAGCTCCTACAAACTTTTTTTATATTAGTTGTTAGATTTTTGGCTGTATAGAATGGACTAATTGTGTTCTGCATTTGTTTTATTCCAATATGGCACAGGTTTTCATGTAAATTTTCCAATAGTTTGATGCTGAATTGTTCGGTAAGTATTATTTTTTCTTTTTTTCCTACCTTCTTTAAGTATAATTGTTGTTTTTGAATCAATTTGCTTTTTTTTTT